TCGTTAGCCGAGTGGTCGCAAGTGCGACTGCTAGGCAAGGGGCCTCGGGTTCGATTCCGAAGGGTTTAAAAAAATCTAATAAGTAGCACGGAGTCTGGAATTGTGCCCGGTTTATAGCAATAGGCTCACCCCCTATTACATGGGACTCATAACTTAAATAGTAAAAAGTGGGTGTTATATTACAGTGGCATAATGTGCACCTCTGCCTACTCCTTCGAGGATAAATTGTTATGTTATGAAGGTATTTGGTAATTATTCCCCCTCAAAAAAAAAGGTATAGGTGCAGCCATGGACCTGCGAGCCGTTTGCGTTGTTAATAAAATATAAAGTGAACTATGTATACCCTTTCGGACCCTCGTGATTCATGTAGATAACTTGCTAAGTTTCATGGTGCACTTATAATATTTTTAATTATTATCGGTAGCCTAGTTTTAAAATCACGTATCACGGTTTTATAAGGTCCACCTATATGAAACGAACTATGTATTTATTTAAATCTAAGAATCTGAATAAGATGCCATTACTATTTTATGATACCATCAAGCTGGTTTAATGAAGGAATCGGCAGTAGGCTAAGGATGGACAAAACCTTTATAAATTGGTTTTGTTCATTTTTCTCAATAACGAGGACATTATAATTAATTGATTATTTTGTTTAAGTTGTAAATTCTTTAGTTTTAATTGCACAATTGTAAATATGTATGTGTCATTGCTTTAATAAAAAAATTAGTAAGCGCTGTCAATAATATATGACTCGTGTCCACCGTTCATTTTTAACAAATTTAATTTTATTGAAATAAAAATATTACCACGGTAACTGTGTTTTTTAATCATAACCTGTTCTAATTAGTTAGTATAATATTATTTCTTTTAGATCAATTTTATAATCACAGTAATATTATAAATGTGAAAATTTCTTTGGATGTTTGCCCGTCAATCACGCTGAAACTACTGAACGGATTTTGATGAATTTTGGTATACAGGCACGGTATGGGCTGACTTACGTGACAGAATACTTTTCATCCCAATTGAATGCTCCTATGGGATAAAACAGGAATCAAAATAGCTAAATAGCTGTTGCCCGCGACTTCGCGTACAACAGCTATTTAGCTATTTTATAATTATTATTGTTGTACCTATACCGCAAAATGGATATAAAAGTAAGGATATTCTTACTAATATTATAAGCGTATGTCGTGTCGTGATGGCCAATGGTTTTTTAAAGGGGAAAAATCATCGAATTACGCTCCCGTCTGCCGCCGTTCCTTCTCCTGCACTTCGAGCCGGAGTCGCGGTAACCCGTTAGGTTCTGGCAGCCCAGAGATCTCACTCAGAAGTTATAACAATATTAACAATAATAATTTGAGTACGGCAGCGCCATCTGGTTTGCGGCGGAGTAACTGGTAGAAAATTGAATAGTACCTATTTGTCTTTGATGCAGGTAAGCGTTACTTTATAGTTGGCACTTGGGTTAATAATAACAACGACAAAAAAGTTTTTTGTCTTTAAATGTCTATAGTCTGCTATCTTTAAACGTATTCGAAAAATCGCATGTAATGCTGAAAGCTGTGATTGCAAAAAACATAATTTCAGAAGTCAAAGAATATTTCGATAATACGGTATAAATATTCCAATAGACTCATAACATAAATAGTGAAAAGTGAGTTATATTGTACAATGGCATTCAGTGCCGTAATGTGCACTTCTGCCTATCTCTTCGATTCGGGGGTAACAGGCGTCACCTTCCTTCTTATCTGGAATCATGATTTGGCGAGGAATTATGAAAAGAGTATTATGGCACAAATAGAAGAACTAAGTATCCATTTAGAAAAACATACCCAGGCATAAAGCGCCTACTTTATTTACTCATGCCATCTTTCAAGAAACGTATTGCTATTATTTTTTATCAGTGAATTTGTTACGACGTTATTAAGACTACTGACTTCATTGATCGAGTGGTTGCAGTGTAATTGCCAAGCAGGGGGTCTCGCCGTTTATGGTTTTGTTCCCGAATCGGACAAAGTATTACCGTGCTTTTTCAGTTTTTCGCAAATCTTAGTACCTAGTAGAAAGGAATCTAGAATGTCCCTAGTGTAGGCTAGGTTTCTTTTAGGTATCTTCTACGACATGATATTTATTAACTTACTAAACGAGAGTGTTTCGTGTAACTGGAACTGTCAAATGTATTTAAATTTCCCGCCTTCTTACTAATGTCAACTTGTAACATTTTGACTATGGTCACTCTGTTCGCGCTCGTTTTTCTTATTGTGTCGAAGTTCTATTACAAGCTCAATTTAAGCATATTAGTTTCATTTATTTCAACAGGAACAAAGGGTGTTGAGCCAATCTCCATCGTCAATATTCTAATAACTATCTATCTATCTAGATAACTAAGTGTATATTAGAACTAGCGGGCGGGCGACTTCATCCGTGTGGAAAAGTAGCCTAAGTTAGTCCTTAGTACATCAGCTACCTGCCTATAAAAATTAGAATAAAAAGAATCATAAAGGCAATATTCGAAAGCAGTAATCATATGAAATATATATTTTCCGTTTATGTTCTAAACCAAAGCCAATTAGTTATCACCGCTTATCTATCTAGACCACATTTTAAGCAGTAATAATTGTAAAACAGAACTAATAACATACGATATTAATAGCAAATTAACAATCAGTAAGAGAATACAGAATAATATTTAATTAATATAAGATCACGACCGATATTCATTTAAAAGAATAAGCAGTAGCCAGGTAGCGGTAACGAGTACTTAATTAACTCGTCGAGTACCGGTTTTGTAGACACAATTATAGAACAATAGGTTACGGTCACCGGTGACCGCTTGGTGTTTGACAGTTTAATTAATTTATTTATTTATTTAATATGCTTCATGCACAAAATGTACAAAAAGGTGGACTTGTATGTAATGTAATGCCGCAGGCTTTATTAATTATTACATCCCTTAAAGTTTCTGGTATGGATCGTATTTATGCCGAATGCCTTGAATTTCGTTAGAAAAATTTTTTTTTAATACATTAAAATAAAACAGATGCTACTGTTAATAAATACTAATAGAAAATGTCGAAAGGGATGATGGATTTCAAAGGTTGCCTGTTTATATTTTTTGTCTGCCTCGTTGGCCGAGTGGTCGCAAGTGCGACTGGCCGGGCAAGGGGTCTCGGGTTCGATTCCCGGGTCAGGCTAAGTATTACTGGATTAAAAAAAATCAATAGTAGGACGAAGTCTGAAATTGTGCTTGGTACCCATATGGCAATAAGCTCCCCCCATTAAATGGGACTCATAACATAAATAATGAAAAGTGGGTGTTATATTGTACGTATACATTGTGTAGTGTGTACATTGCCTACTCCTTCGGGGATAAAAGGCGTGATGTTATGTTATTTTCTAAATCGAGATATTTATCCAGAGTAATCATCATAAACGTTTTTCGTACAAACAATATTGTTGAGTTTCGGGACATTTTTGTACCTTAAGTTAAGGTAGTTCTAGCTTAACTTTAATTTATCCTGAGAACATTTGTAAGAACAGCTAAGTACCCAAGGAAACAAAATAAATACTTATGTAAAAAACGTAGGGTATAGCAGTACCGCCCTGAGGACACGGTGGAACACACTGTCGCGGAATGCCCTGCGTGGGCTGAGCACCGCCGTGTCCTCAGGGAAGTGATCGGCGATGGCGACCTCTCGCGTCCGGGCCTAGTGCAGGCCATGATGCGGAGCGAGGGGGACTGGGATGCCGTCTCCTCCTTTTGCGAAGCAGTCATGCTAGCTAAGGAGGAGGCGGGACGCGTGAGGCAGCGGAGCGCTGCCTCCTCGCAACCCAGCCATCGCGAAGGACACACCGGGCGTCGGGGATCGCGGGACGATCTCCGGCCACCGTAAGCGCGGGCCTGCGGACGGCGAGCATGGGTGGCTCCCCGTCCGACCAGAAACAGACCCGAGCGTACGGCGCGTCGCGTTCCGCGCGCGCCTCAAAGAGCCATCAGACCACCACAGATGGGGCCCAATAGGGCCGATGCCGATTCGGAGTCGCGGAGAACCTAACGGGTAACCGGGGCTCCGGCTCGACGTGCAGGAGAAGGAACGGGGTGGTTTTTAGTCAGTAAGAGTCTGACACTCCCTCCCGCCTCACCCAGGCGGGAGCAGTCATTCGACACCCTTAAAAAAAAAAAAAAAAAGGGTATAGCAGTATTTTCAGTCTACCCCCATTTGAAAGTCTTTTGTATAATGTAGTTGTAATGTTAGAAGGATTAATGTGTATTTTAGTTTCTCAGCGAACGAACAAACTATTAGTAAATAAATATTAATATTTTTTGTATACTAATAATATAATTGATAGGTATGCATTATAATGGAGTTAATCAAGTTCCATAATTATATCTAATAACGTACCTATCACTACAAAAGACAAAAGCGTACGTACATAACTTACATAATTATTTCTTTTGTTTGAGTAAAACAATAAGAATATTTTCAACATTACATAACATCTCACTCGATTAACCAAAAAGGTTGGTGTTGATATTATATTTTCGATAGAAACTTATCTCATTTTCTTCTTCACCCAGGGTAAAGAAGATGAATAACTTTAGAAGATTAATAAACTGAAAAGAATTGACTACATGCATTTTTATTTATCTAAGTACGTATGTACGTATACGTCAACGATATGATAGACGAATAACTACATTTGTTATGTTGAATCTCTACGTAAACAGATTAAGTAATAAATCTTCAATTAAATATAACATTGAATTAATGATAGATACATTAATATTATGAAAATATTATTTGAACAAATAAAAAGATTACCTACTACAATAAACAATGAATAAGAATTCCTTTAATCCTGGGTCATTATAAATCATAATCAGGTGCGTCTTACAAAAGAATTAAAAAACATAAACAATATGAACGTCTCCGTTCAGAACTTAGTGTACCTCTAAGGATAGTGTCGACCACAAGTGTCATTTGCTTTAATCGATATAAAACAGAGAATTTAAATCGAGAATCGATTGCGAGTCGCTATGATGCGATAGTAATTAACAGCACTCATTCGACAATCGTGCGCCGCAGAAAGAAACCAGTGTATGTTGTGTTAGTGATTATAAAATAATTTATATACAATTGTTAACATGAAGGTGAGTTTACGAGATATATTGCTTTAATTATCGCCAAAATCCAGGCATTTGCGTAACGCCATTAATTTAATTAGTAAAAAATACTTCTTGCTGCAAAATCGAATTGTGGGTAATATTTTAGTCGTATCGTGTATTTTTTTCTTGTATTTTTTTTCGTGCATAGGTACAGGCATAAAAAGTGTATAAATCATTTAAATGTGAAAAATAATTTCAATAACAATAAATGCCTATTTATAATGTTAAAATATGTGGCACTGTGAATTTATGCGTGAATGCTTAACAAATAATATTTTTTTGTAAGATACAAAGATGATTAATAATATATAATGAAGACAGACAAAATCGTACAAAATCTCCAAAAAGAATATCTAGACAAAGTGGAATTGTTAGACTTTGAATGGAATTACGAGAACCGGTACGAACGCTGTCTACCTGCACGCTCAAAAAATGAAACGTTACAATGTATTTTTACACATTATTTCAATTTCTTGACCTATCTTCGAACATAAGGGAACCGGTTCGAAATGTTGGCATCATTAGTTCGTATATAGGTATTTTGCGCAGTTTTTACAACCATATTTTTATTAGTCTTCTGCGGGTATTATTTACTTGTAATTTATCAATGCTACGTATATAAATGCAAGATATACACAAGATAAAAGAGAGTATAAGAGCATTATTTTCGTAAATAAACTGTGGTATGAGGATTTCTTTTAATCACCAAAACACGTCTGGCTGATCTTTGAGATCTCCAAGGCGATGCACTTGTAAAACTAAATATAAGTAGACACTTGAAACAAAAATAACTTGCCCTGTGCGAACTGTTGGTACTTGTCCGACTATTTATTACAATATTCATAAAATTACACTTGGACTCGTCTCAGGGCATTCACACCTTGCGTGTGTACTGCTTTAAGTACTTGTATCTGTTGGTGATTGGTGATATTTTAGCTGTGTTCGCATCGACTGTCCTGACAATACTCAGAATTTTTTAAGTTTCCTAAATCCTCAATAAGCAAGACTACAATTGATCAGGGTGTAGATATGGCAATTATAATTCCAAACTAATTGCACACTCATGATTATAAAATTCCATAGTTTTAGATGCTAACACAGGTGAGTAAGTTCATAAAAAACAAATTTACTATTTGAACATGAATGGCTAATAACTACGTCAAAGAAATCATAACGTTTTACTATAATATTTGTCATCAATAAACTAAACTCATAGCTTTTCAAGAGAACGTGTTGATTCAGTGTCACCTACTACGTAAACGGGTAACGGGTAGTATTTCCAATTATTGAGAAAACATTTGAATATTGATAATAGTCGAGTGAGTTTACAGCATAAGTACCATGAGGATTTGATATTTTTGTCTAATAGATAACAGGAGTAAACCACAGTTTGGAAATTTCCGGTGTTTAAGGACACAAAACCGTCGGTCTGAGTTATCGTGCAAGCTAATCAAACCACAATAAATAGTGAATAGTTACGCATTTTATTTATGAAAGAAGATGGAATCCGTTGGATAGTCACTTCCGCACAATGCTGACCAATATAACAAACTTTATCTATTACTATTATCGTAACGTTTTGACGTAATACGGATGACAATTACATTCTAATATGTTTCTAAGTCATATCCCGAGGAATAGCAAACAAATGTACCTAATTGATGACAACACGCATACGTATGTACATAATGAATATTACTATTATTGAATAAATAACAACGTATTAGAAATATAGGTCACATCTTCGAAATATTAGTGTCATTAGTCGTTACAGTCTCATACAACTCCTACTACCTTACCAACTTAGGTAATACCTAGGTAGTAGAAATTGTCTCGATGGTCAATACTATCACAATATCTCCAAAATACAGAAAATCTGTTCTACTTTAATACAATACATTATTATGTAAAATCTATTTTTTATTACATTTCATCCTTATATTATACATCAAAAATAGCTTACCTACATAATACAAACAATACCTTTGTTTATCTATTACAAAATTCAATTGTAATTTACAGAATAACTCATTGTTTTCATCTTTACTATGGCGATGGCGAATGTATCTGTTGATAGAAAGCGACGACGAATTTCCTCATATAAAACAATAACGCAGTTAACCATTATCAATAGGTTATTTATAGATATAACCAATGACCACATTCAATAAGATAGGTTAACAGAAAAGCTCTTAACTGTACCTAACCTACCATGGCGGTGTGCCTTGTACATTAATTGTAAAAAAGTTTCTGAGGATGCTTGGATGCATGTTGGTCGAATCTGAACGAAAATAGGCATAGAGGTAGATTATTGTAATAAGGTAGTGCATTGACACAAGGTAGACTAGACTACTTTTTATCCCGATAAAGGGGAAGAGGTCAGCAGTGTCTAGAGTCTATCAGTCATTATCAAACATAAAACCCTAATTTAGTTACAGGATCATTATCTTATCCTCAAGTTTTAGTGGGTACTTCATAGTTTATACTCATTGAAATCATTGTCAGCGTTTTTAAAAGATGACCAGTCAACAACATAAAAAAAATGATTTGTTCCCCTGAATATCTAAAGCTTCTTACTTAAGGACCAAAAAAGTAGGCACTAAAAAATCGCCATTTCTTCTAGAAACTACCATTCATACGTCATGATCGAAAATAATGTTATTAAATTGTAATTTTAGTAGTTAAGTACATTCTTAATGATATTCACTCAGCCAGTGTATTACCGACGCGTCTGTTTTGCACTGCTGATAACACTCGACCTCATATAGTGTCAATTAGTCTTTTATGTCTATTATTCGCACATTAATATCGTGTATTATATATAATAAAACATGTTTAATGTCATTGTGAAGAGCTTCGTGGTTGGTGGCTGGTTACAAGCGCCTATGAGCTAGGAGTATCGATTGAAATCCACAGACTTAAAAAGAAAAATTATTATACGCTCTTTAATTAGCCTTTGATGGTCAATAGAAAATTGCTGAAGGCAAATCTTTCGCTATCGTCGGTCACTGATGACCATCATGGCGTTTAACGTTAACTCGTCTAGAATTGCATCTATGATTCATAATAACTGCAGACCATTTCGGGAACTAAAATTCCTAACATAACAAGTTCCATTTCCAAAGAAATATTAACAAAACTTATAAATCGAATTACTTAAGTAAATGATCTCATTTGTAATACATCTTATTATCATCCATCCTATAATGGTCTTACATAGTAATAAACAGAGTACACATTGATAACAAACGTATTACTTACTGATAATAGAATACGTTGCATCTGTCAAAGTGACAAGATGACAGTAATATCGTAATATGTTTGCCTTTTATCAAAATCATGAATGAAACCTTGAGGGACAACTGTTCATTGACAGTCATAAATAAGCTGATTCGAAACTATTGAAATAATTAATTAATGTAATATAGTAATAGTGACAACATCATAGTGTGAGAGAATTCTAAGTTGATAAATATTTATTAACTAGCTTCTGCCTGCGACTTCGTACGCGTAATCCCATTTTTCCCGTCCCCGTTCGTGATTTTCGGTAAAAAGTAAAAAAGAAGTATTGGTTGAAAAGTATCCTATGTCGGTCTCCTGGCTCTAAGCTACCTCCCTACCAATTTTCAGCCAAATCTATTCTGCCGTTCTTGAGTTATAAGTGGTGTAACTAACACGACTCTTTTATATATATAGAAGATTACTTGACTACGATAAAATGATTTAACAGATCTAAATCAAATAGCACGTCGAATTCGGTATTGTCTTTATCTAACCGATTTTTTATTGCTACACGGTACGGTAACACTTTTCAATGTTTTCCTATCCGGACAGTTTATTAAGGCAACTTTGATCCAAATATTAGTTGTTTGCGACTTTGAAGTATTTACTTCAAAATCGCAATAAATAGCTAGTTAAATAATAAATGTCCGATTGATATTACTTCAAGCGTGTTTGAATGAAAACATTGCACATACGTAGGTACAAGTTCCGGATACTACACTAGGGCTTAAGATAGGTTTATCTTTATATCCAATTAATAGAATAACATTTTGACCTTTATTAGATTCCTGATCTATCACATTACAATTGGCAATTCCCAAGATGAGTCCGTTTGATCAAAGATTTTCCTAGATTATTTAGTAATTAGTAGGTATACATGCAAAGTACGCGTAAATAAGATACGTAAATGTAATTTATCATTAACTGGGTTTATGTCTGATGATCTCCAGTCATCATCATCATCACGTAAACAGTACTTCCCCGTGATTGCTCGAAAATAATTCGAAGAACTGTTTTTGAAGCGTTCACGTCCTCCGTTTGTCATCAAAGCTGTTTATTGATAATAAAACATTTTTTGTTTATTGCTAATTAAACATAATATAATAGTTATATATAAATAGACATTAAATATTAGTAGATACGCTGTGGGAAATAACATCATAATATAGGTCTCTACTTATTGTATCAATACAAAGTTGAAAGTTTAGGTTTGAACAAATTGATTAATCTTCGGTACTATCTATTGGTATTGAATAATGTTTATGTATTATCTAAACCTTTCTTGCAATGATTTGTTACCTACAATCATTGCATTAATTTAAAGAGGAATGTAAACAATATCTATTTGCGGTTGTTTTTGCCTACATCAGTATAATAATACGAATGGCATACATAGTTGAAGGCGTATGACATTCAATATCTTTGATTCACTATAATTTAGATTTAGCCACGAAACTTATAAACAACGTATGACATGTTATAATGTAAACAATATTAGTATGTATGTCACAGAAGAACGATTATTATAACTTCTGAGTAGGTAGGTCTAAGCATAGGTACTTGTGTAAGTAGGAATAGTACCTAGTAGTTACCTCCTGCTTACGTAATGCAAAAAGGATTGATAAATTGATTATCAAAACTTGCAAAAAATCTGAAATTCAGTCACGCAAAGAATAGGGTAGATGACTAATTTTTATTTTATTGTCCGTCTGGTAGATTATTTAAAAACATTAGACACGTATTTTTTATTTTCTTACAGAAACGTATAGTTTCAAAGATACATTGATTTGAAATATCGCATGACATCACTTTTGAGTACGATTTATACTCTAAAATGACGTAGCTAGCGTATTTTTTCATTACCTAACTGATGGACTAATTAGAATTTTAATGTTCATACCCTGTCATCATCCCTATTCTTTCGTACCACAGTTCGTCAGCCACCGCAACCACTGTGCAGTAGTTTCCATAGAATACCGAAAGCCATGCAGTCACACATATAGTCTGTCTCCTTTATAATCTTTAATGGTGTTACACATGCTCTCAAATAGTAGGTGTATGCTAAAAAGCATTCTATTGAGCATAAAAATCGAACGCCTGTTGATTGGGAAGTATGCCCGAAATGAGCATGCCAATTTTGAGCAACATTCCGACACACATGTGCCATAAGTGACAATTGAAACATGCTTTTGTGCTTGAAATGAGCATGATTCACAGAACCTTAACTCCCACGAGACACTACTCATTTCACGGGTCCTTGGAAGTCCACATTCGCATGTGTGACATAAATCTTTAATTGTATAATGTAGGTCTGACTCTGACCTTAGTTTCAAAGCTAACTGAATTACCCTCCTTACATATATTAGTCATCTGATTTGATTGTTGATCGACCTACTTCTCTGATCTGATTCAATAAGTCATCGATTTATTACAAGTTAATTTTCATGTATAATAACATAAATATAAATCTAATATTTTATTGTTTGCTTGAACGCAATAATGTCAGGAACTAACAGTCCGATTTGAAAAATTCTTTTTGTGTTCGATAATCCCATTTATCGAGAAAGGCTATATACGTTACAGTATGATTATTTCAACGTAATTACATATTATTGTAATCCTCTATCACTAATTCTAATAACATTTCTAAAAAATGTGGACTTTATGTTCTTAGAAGTATTTTATAAGTTAACCAATGTTGATTAAACATCTCTAATTATTATTATGACTTTTAAAACTTAATACTTAAATCGTGTCATTGCTCTCAAGTAATTCGATAACAATATTGATGTCAATATGTTAATAAGATGCTACTAGGAGGGTAAAGAATATTTAATGAATTTTAAATTTAAATGTAGTGTTTTCTTTATACAAAAAATAAATTATAAATCATGATAATCACAAACACTACGGTTACTATAAACAACAAACAATGCTTCCCTGTACAAAAGTAACCGTCATTTGACCGCAAATCTAATTGTAATCAAAATCTTTAATATTCAAACCATCTAACTAGACTTTAAAATCATGTTTACTGACCACATATAAAAATCGCTTAACTTATCACTACTTTTATCATAATGTTTAATAAAATTACAACACATTAAGAGAAGAACACAATAATTGATAATAGAAAAAGAGGAGGTCAATAACCTATCAATGAATAAAGGTTGGGGCAGACTATCGCTGTCTCTGGTCGATGTCAAATACAACGTGTTATCGGGTTGTTGTTATAAATGCATCGAAGCTAAACGTTCTCTATGACACTACAGAAATAGCTTTTGCTGTTGATAATCACAATATCATCCCTATTTATTATTCGTAGACTCTCTTTACACGCGTTTTGAATAGTTTGTTTTTAATCCTTTTATTATTTTTAAATTCCAGTAATATTGTCAGAAATTATTGGAGGAACGAGGCTAACTTAAGTAAATAATTGATTTAAATAAAATATTACAAAATCAAATCGAGTCCAAAGGGTACCATTTAGAAATGCTAATAATTATAAGAAATCAAATAGTAATTCGCTCGCCTCTAGAAAATTGTCGCGTTTAGATCAAAGACACAAACAATAAACCTGCACATAAACTTTATCTAATTACGACTACGACAAGCCATCATCTTGTATAACATGTCTACGTATAAATTATTCTGATTCCAATTAAATCGCACATAGTTGCTTTATTACACTACAAATTCTATGACAGAGTAATTTGTTTTAATATCTCAAGTTTAAAGTTCATTGATAAAGAAGAAACTGATAAACAAACTAAGACAACATGTTTTACACTTTAAATGACGTTATAAATCTGTTTCCTTTTCAGGAAATTATATTTTTTGTACTGGTCGGATGCAGTTTGGCATTGGCAGCAACGCCATGTTGTCCGAACGGAGAAACTTTAATACCGAAGGGTTTCTGTGGTACGGAGAAGATGACAGCGATCAACTGCACGAATGGACGAATGGTTTTAAGAGATATTATTCTAGATGGAACAAAAGTCTCCACTCAAGACTCACCCAGCTTTGTTTTTGTTGAAGATCCTAATCAGTGAGTATTTCCTTTCCATCGCTTTGAGTCGTACAACCTTTTCCTTTTTAGTTGATTGTACTATTATTACTATATATGCAATACAATTTATTATCTAGTAACTTTTCTTCAAAGGTTTATTCAACTTTTTTTAACACCCGTCCATGTGCATCAATCCCATCCATCCAAACACAAAACGATAAATAAGTACAAAAATTGTATGCCTAAAAGTTGTTGCTTTTTGTAATACTCATACAATAGGCAGTAGTAAAATGACTAACTTGTCATTGTTTTCAATTACTTCATCTACGCAAATTATTGAAATTGTGAATGACTAAAGAGTGAGCAGATAAATATTTATATGAATTTTACCATTGTATCCTTTTAATACAAATGAAATTGATTATCCTCAGCCTAGCTACGTCAATAACAGAAGTATTAAAACTGAATGTAAGCCTCAGTCGGCAATGAGTCTGCCAAGTATTGCATGAGGAGTTGTATGGCGGAGTTTTATAAATTGATTTATTGATATTATTTGCCAGGTATTGTGTCGCCAACATGTATAAGAACAACAGCAATCACTCCTTGGGCACCCTCCCAGTGGCAATAGTGTGTTTTGAAGAAATTTCTAAGACAAGTGACATAGAAACCAGCGGAGTTCTAACCCTGATTTCTGTATTTTTCCTTGTTGCTACTATTGCCGTGTATACCTTCCTGCCCCAGTTGAGGTAAGAATTTATTAATTATAATTAAAAGTATCTTTAGCTCAGTTTGCACAGAGTGTTTATGAGAAATTGTGTATCGTGCACCCTCGTAACCACGTAAGAGACGGAACGCTTGTAGACTTTTGTTTTTATACACCTGTTAATAATATAATAATAAGGTACTACATACTTACAATGCTTCTTTATGAAGCGAAACCTATGATCGAAACTAAATAAATTTCGTATGTATGTATATTGTATGTATGTAAAAGTGTCAAATACATTAATTAGTCAATAGCTTCTCAAATCTACATTAAACTGTGTCGAGCAACTATTTATCAATATCACATTTATCGCTAAAATACGCCCATATTTTTTTGATATCTGTGAAACCTGAACGAACAATGTGTGTAAAGCTAATGGTATTTAAATGATTTACATGGCAAACGTTTGCAGGGACCTTCAAGGACTATGCTACATGTGCATGTGCGTCAGTATGGCTTTAGGATTCTTGTCCTTGGGAATACTTCAACTAAGCCCTGGATTCCGAGGCGAGATTTGTACTGTGACAGGTAATAAAAATTTTGTACACAGTATTTCTTTGCACAACCGGCTTGTGGACGGGATTAATGTCAAAAATTCATCGTAATGAAACGATTTTAGATGTGCTTGGTTATTTTCAACCGTTAAGGAAGTCGAACTAAGGTTATTTGAATTCCATACCACTGGGTAATTTGAAATACAAGGACAATTACATCGTGGTTATTCTTCGTATTGAAATATGAAAGGCAAATTATTATTAATATATGTAGACCTGCTTATTTTCCTATCCTATTTTACTTTTTATTTTCCTCATTATAATATGCACCATACATAGGTATTACAAAATTGCAAAATAAAACTATAATTAGGTACGACAGTTCTACCAGGATTTATCGTTTTCAGGATTTCTCGTCTATACCTGGATGATGGCAACTTTCTTCTGGATGAATGTAATTTGCATTAACGTCTACCGATCGGCACTGTAAGTAAAAACGCCTTTATACGCCTTTAAATTAGGAATACTTTACAGATATTTATTATTTCATTTCTCTCTGTTCCAGGGACTCAACTTATTTGAAGAAGACTGAGAAGAAACAGTATTTTTTGTACAGCTGTTATGCTTGGGGTTGCACTCTTTTGTTCCTGACGGTCACCCTGATTGCTAACTTCGTTGAGGGGCAACATTTCAAACCAGGTTTTGGTAACGGCAGCTGCTGGTTCAGTGGTAAATAGCCTTCTTTTATATAACAGTATGCGTGTTCTGTGTAGAATTAGTCAGAAGTACACATATTAATAGTAACACCCATTTTCTACCACATATGTTAACCGTAACTGTATACCTAGAAGTATAAGTACATAGTATTCTTTATCATACAACTATTGTTTATGATGTCCACTACTTCTTAGTGGATTGTGTCAGGGAGAGAGGCGTTGAAACATATATTTAAAATCAATTTATGTTGGTGTTACTCATAGTATATTGTCACCGCCTTTATCCAAAGCAGCCATTTAGCCATTTAGATATATACAATAGTAAATAAGATTAGTATTTACGTAATCATGTAAGTTTTGTTAAATACGTTTAGGGAATGATGGGTCTGGCATGGTCTTTGTGTGACCAAAGTACTCTAAATTAATAAAGATAATAAAAAAGTATTATCAATTTTTGTAAAACAAAGAATATGATTTTAATCCTATTTTTATTATTTAAGGTCGAACGGAAACCTGGATATTCTTCTATGGACCGATTGCTGTCCTCATTACTGCAAATGTTGTTCTATTCGCCATGAGTTCATTCAATTTGTGGAGGCAGACTCGAAAGTACGAAGTGAACACACTCAACGTTCTGAAGCATAAGTGAGTTCTTTGTACAGTATACGTTCATTGACACAGCACTTGGAGATGAGATCTTATTTGCAATTATAAAGGAAGCAGTTAGAAGTTTAGAAACTATTTCGAGTTAAAGGAATATTTCTCCCTTATTATTATAACTAATGACAAAATGTCTCCCAAATTAGTTACTCACCCCTGGAGGTTAGGCTTCCTATCGTGTAGGCAAAAAGTAGTTCTTAATTACTCGTAATTCAAAACTACATATTTATTATTTCCAGGTTCTTGCTCTCTTTGAAGTTGTTCCTGGTTATGGGCATTTCTTGGATTTTCGAGATCGCTAGTTTCGCTCATGGATCAGTTCACATTATCTGGTAAGTTAACATTATACAATAATGTTCACAATAGCGATATCAGTACCTTAGCATTTACATGGCTTCATAAACCTTCTATCAACAAAAGTTAGGTACCTAAGTGCTAAGGAATCCAACCACATTAATACGACAAAGACCTAATTGCAAAATATTTTTTTCAGGAAAATAATGGACACGTTCAACTGTCTTCAAGGAGTCATCATTTTCTTACTACTCGTCATCTTTAGAAGGCGGGCAATGCGAGGCCTGGCTAGTGAGAATATCTGCGCGCGCTTCAGTCGCCCTCTGGCGGAGAAACTAAGTCCGCACGATGACTCCGATGACCAACAGATACTAGGTGACGATACCGTTGAGGTCAGGTTAAATTGAAATAGCACTTATCTCCCAGCACACCGTTCCATTTTGTAATTTCGACGTCAAATTGGGTTAAAATAATTTCCAACCTAGTCAATAGAAAATTCCAACGGAATATTTACAAACTACTTATATTATATTGTGTGTATGAACCGAAGTGATAATTATTCAATAATTTTGGAGGCAATGGCATAATTTATTATTGTTTAATAATTAAATAGTACCTACTATGTTAAAGCTCTCAGTTGTGGTTTAGGTGCAACAATACGTTATCAGAAAACAAAAATATTTAAAAGTCCATCTCATTATGTTTATGAATGTTAGGTCACCGTGTCATAATCAAATTGGTACTTATTTTTGTATAAAAGATAAGTATTCCATTAATTACGAATTTATTTTGTATAATTTTATTCTAATTTTTCTTATCTAATTATTTAATACTAATTTTTGTTTGCCACAGTTAAAGCTTGTTTAACATGATCTGATACTCCTTTTAGAACACGCTATTATACTTTTAGTATCACCAGTGCCATAAGTGTAGCTACCTATTTTAAAGAGGGAACTCAAATAAATATTAGGTGTTTTAATAAACAAAGATTATAATTAAGATTTTAGAAATGTTCTAGGATTTACCTAATGTAAATACTATAGAGTAATATTTCAATAATTTAAGGTTCTTATAAGTAATTAAATATAATTGTTCTTTTTATTCAAGAATGCATGTTGGTATCAAATACTAATAAATCTATTTAAATTAAATTGTGTTTTCTTAAGCTGTCATGAATGTATGTATACGTATACGTACAATGCGTCGATGCATTTTTAATATTTCGACAAGAAAATGCATGCATAACATTTTGTATATTTTTCATTGAAGCACATTTCACTGAAAATACAACAAATTTCAAGTAAATATTAAAAAAATATTTCGCAATCAATAATATGTTTTTCGTAATCCAAAACAATTGCCTTGAACGAGCTACACAAATAATTAACTCCCAGTCGTCTCAAAAGCCTTTGTGCCAAGCGCACAGTAACTCAGTGTTAAGAAAAAAAAAGTTAAACTAAACATTTCAAACGTCAAACTTCGGAAGCAGCGAGCGGAAACGCAAAACGAACCGACTTCAGAATCTCCGACTTAAATCCAAAGAATAAAAAACTTTTAAATATTAATTAAATGACAAAAGTGAGCTACGTTCAGTGACATCGAATTATATGGTTCTACTATGTGTTGTGTTTGTGATAGTAGAATTAACTGTAAGTGCCTTATTGTATGACAAACAAAGTGTCGATAAAGACGACAAGTACCTTGTGATGAAAGTAATAAAGATTCAATAACAACATGTATGCAGCACTGTTAACATTGTCATTACTATGTGCACCGCATCAACTACACGCGGAAGTCGGGGATACAGATCTCAATGAACTCTCGGACAAGCAGAATGGAGTTAAGATAAATAAATGCTGCGAACATAACGAAATTGTTGTGGACGGAGTATGTAGGCTAGCCGAGAGATACAACCAGAGTAAGTAAATTTTAATAACATGCTAAACATGTATTATTGAAATGATTGAAGACAAAGACTATCTATGTAATCATTATTTCTATTTGAACACATTTCAGTGAACAGCAATTTGCTGGTAACAAAAAGCTGACCTTTTTGTTATGTTTCACAATACAATTTGCAGCTTTGTTTATTTTTTGTAACATACCTTTATGTGAGTTAATTTGCTATTTTGATGAAAAAGTTATTGTGATAATTTACAGGTTTGTGGACACCACAATTTAAGACTGAAGATGGTAATGACGCCAAAGTAAAATATTATAACTATGTATTTGGTGTGCCTGACTGTGCCACCACACAACAGAGAGCTATATTTGAATTAGACAAATCCGAGGACAAGTATGTAACTTTTTATGCTGCTTAATACTTTTTAAATTGATTGTTTTATTATTTCCATTGTTGTGCCTGAAGTTCTTAGAGATAGTTATAACTTGAATTTAATGAATCAACTTATTTACAGGCTTAATTTATTAACTGATGGCCGCTTACAACATATTATCAATCATACTCCTAGTCCCGATGTAAAAGAAGAACCACTGTTAAATAACTTCAACCTGCATGACAGCATAACTATACCAGAAGAGAAAGAACCATCATCATACATACATAATCAAGCTAAATATTGTATGGATAAGGTTGGTATTTTTTTTAAGGCGGCAAAATCATCAAATTAGTGCTTCTGTCTGAGTGAGGCGGGAGGGAGTGTCAGACTCTTACCGACTAAAAACCATCCCGTTCCTTCTCCTGCACATCGAGTTCGGTAACCCGTTAGGTTCTCCGCGACATGGATACAATTGGTATAGACACGGTAAAATAACTACAAAGTCAAAGACTCAGCCTACAATCTTCCATTGGAGTTTCAAAGATACATATAGTACAGCATTCAAATAATATATTATTGCTATTTTTAAAATTCTCCAAATGGATACTTGGTAGAATTGCTATTACAGTTGGTAAGAAATAACTATTTTCAACAGACTGAACAAAATCCTCCACCATTTCAAATGGTCTATAAATCTTGATAGTCTTAATTAAATAAATGCTTTGGCTTTGAGTCTCAGAGCTCTCAATAGGGTTGTCCAAAAAATAAACTGTTCATGTTTTGTTAGGAAAATATAGTTGAAATTTTTAATCTAAGTTTATGCTGACCTATTGCCTTGGTCTAAGATAACTTTCAACTAAGTATCTCCATTATCAGTGACTTAAAAAAAAAAATTTACATTGTACTTTGTGCTTGTTTCTATCTGAGTCATAAGGTTGGTGACTCAGTGGTTACTGTACATAAAAAATAGTTGAATGATACTTTTTTGTATGGGCCAGTTCTATGTAATATCTACTATTTTATGCCTAGATTCATATCTAAAGGTATTTAGAAGGACAATCCTTTTAAATACCATGTAAATAGTTATGTAAACCATTCATGAATATGACTCCGAATGAGGTATGTTTAATTTCATTGAGTTTTTCGTTGCAAATGTAATTACCAAACATGAGGTGTATCAAATTTGAGCTAGCTATTATTATAGTTAAGACTGCTATTACACTTCTGTCTTGCTTTCAGATACTACTCACGCTAAAAGACACGCATTCAAGGAAAGGAGTTAATATCACAGGCACATATGCATTAGTATGTGTGCCAGAGGTCAAAATTAACTGGAGAGATACCAACTTTTTAATGAAGAAGATTCTTAACCCTTTATTTCACGCTATTGCAATGATATTGTACCTACTGGTAGCTGTTATATACTTTGTGTTGCCAACACTAAGAGACTTGGCCGGGAATATAATCACAACTATTAACATGTGTTTGATAGTCAGTCAGGCAGCGGATTTAGTGAGAATATTCACTGAGTTCAGCAATCATGTTAGCTTCATGGTCACTGGTATGTACTGCAATTACTAAATTAGTTTTCTGTTACTTTATTTTTCTGTATAGACTAATTTGTTAACATTTGGTGTTTCCAGATATCATCCTGTACATCAGTCTACTTGCAGCCTTCTTTTGGCTCAACAGTTTTGGGTTTTATATCTGGAAAACGTTTAAGTATGTATTGTATATGTTTATCTGTTTTAATCTGCCTTTTTGTGATTTCATTTTACGATACACAGAACCTTTGAAGATATCTTTGAAATCATTGTAAATGCTAAAATGAGTTAATATTTTATGTTGTCTCGTTTTACATTTCAAAACTGGTCTTGACACAAAACTATACATGACAAATAGAATAACTAATAGTTAATAACATAAATCACATTGGTGTGATAAAAATATGAGAAAAGAAAATGTTTTATAACTTTTTTCCTTGTTGTATAATTATGTAATAACCATGAGAAATAAATTAACCATATAAAATTATTTAGCTATTTACAACATAATAAACAGAGGGCGTAGCTAATAATGAATAAATAAATTGTATTTATAGGTCTCGCAACGTGTTTCTCCGCGTGACAGATGTCCGCAAGTACTGTTATTATTCAAGCGTGGTGTGGTCCAGTGTGTTGTTAATGGCCGGTATGGCTATATGCGCACATTTCCTACTCGACACCGGCACCAACCCTAACAGGAAGACCAGGATCCAGTTCTCTTCGTCAATCATTATTGACGATGTTGAACAGGAAACTATTGGTAAGAAAATTGCTTGTAATAATCAAATAAACCTGTCAGGTCATTAATGGGTCACTCAGATGTTGATTAATACTTATAAAATTTACATGCGACATATGAGTTCTATGAAGCAAAATATTCTAATATTCTCGTGGCAGTTGGCCTTCAGAAAACCACAGAGATACATATAAGTTTCTATTCAACTTGTTTTAAAAAATATTTTTCGCAATTCCAGGATTACTCGGCATCGCGATATTCTTTACCCCAGTTGCATTCACTATAATTTTCAACGTATTTTTTTACGTTACGACTTTAAAGATTATAAAGAGAATCAACATTTATGGGAGGATACATCATAAACTGAAAGGATGGTACGTAGTGTTGTCATGATATAAAGCATAATAGTGAAAATTATAATTTGAATTAGTTTAAAAATGCCTAACTTTTTTTGTTTGACTTTGCGAGGGCATTGCCGCCTCCAGATTCAGATATTACCTTAGCTTTGTACAACTTAGCTATAATATATTTATTTATTATTATTTTATTTATATATTTTAAAGTTTTTATTTTGTTCCAGCTTTAATTTATTCCTCCAACTATTCCTCATAATGACGACAGCTTGGCTGTTCTTATTGTTATCCTGGCTGAACATCGACGAATTGTTATACGCACACATCTTCGTGAACCTATTCCAGGCAATTTTAATATTCTATGTGTGCATAGTGCGACAGTCGCATGTAACGTTTTTGTTGCGCAAGAGTTGTTGCTATGCAGAGCCTGTGCCTACGGGGGAGTGGGGAGACGAGATGACTCACATGAACGGAGGGAATTACTGACATATCATTGAATATCAAGTAGAATCTCATGAATAGTTTTAAACGCCAAGAAACATTAGCTTCACAGTAGAAGCACGATCTGTATGAATGTGACATATTTAAATGTGATGAAAATGAGCTATGTTAGATGTATGGATAGTTGTACTGTTAAATATTATACTCCAAGTTTCACAGTTATACATAATCTGTGTACAAATGCGTGTGCCTTGTATATGTGCCTCAAATTATGTATTAGAAACACCAACTTAGTGTATAAGATTGTTTCCCTTGTATTTCAATGCCTCTCTGAATATCTATAGTACCTATTTCGATTGACTGTGATTGTAATATGTATTGAAACCGAGTGTCTTACAAACAGTATACAATTTAACTAATAGTATTTTAAATAAGTAACTAGCAGCAGAATATACAAAGTTATTGGAACTAGGAATTTATGAGAGTAGTTTAAAAATGTAGGTGAAAATGTTAAAAAATTGTAATCTAATATTTGGGATGATCTCTCGACGTTAGGAATTGATTGCTCACAAAAGATACTTAAACTCGTTTAGGAAATTAACAAAAAATTAAATTACTAACACTAACAAATCGATGTTATTGTCGTATGCGACAAGAATAATGTTATTGAATCTCATTGACGCTGGGACAGAGAATTAAAACAAGCCTATTATATGCTATCTCTTTTTATAATATGTCCGTCCTTTTCTGTTTTAAGCAGCTATAGGTGGTTAGTGAAGTATTTATATACATAAATATGTATACATTGCGCTCTTGCACTAATTAAAATAAGTACGTCATTTTATTATAATTATAATATGTTCAATATTTTTTACTTTGACTTTCTTTTACGTCGAAACTATACGATGACAAAACGCATTTATGAATATTTTGTAATTCATTTTTGATTTACTTTAATAAACACAGCTAAAACTTGTAAGTGTATTCTTTTATTTTCCTTTACTTATAAGTATTTTAAAAACGCGTAGAAAATAAAGACAAAGTCCGATAAACAATGATGAACTATCAAAATTAACTCCAAAGTTAATAATAGGTAATAGTTTTAAATTTCCTAAAATGGTAAACAGCAGTTTTGTCTTTTATAAATCATAATATAGAGAAAAATCTTAAATTAACCAAACACACATAAGAAATTAACTAACATAATTATTTTACAAAGACTGTATTCTGAATGACCAAATAAATCCCGTACCGTAAAATAGGACTTAAATTATATTTCGTACACAATCAACTGATGTAAATTCCAAAAATTTGTTCATACAAAAGTAGTTCCTAAATATCAGAAATGAGGTGTATAATGGAGTTAGTGGAGAGTAGTCACCGGTGACCGCTTGGGGATTGATTAGATAAATATGAAAAATGAAGCAGTTTCATGAATACTTTAACTCAGAAAGTCTTTAACAATAAATTGATAACTTTTAACTTATTAATTAAAATCACGGGTTATTCACGTGAATATACTAAGAAAAGCTCTACTAGTTTCGAACCACAAAGGGGCTCTTCCTCATGAGCAGCGTGCGCGGTCGCGGCGACGTCGCGCAGCTCACTGCTCACTCATATTCACGTGAGTAACCCGTGATTTTAATTAATTTAGTATGTCTCACGATAATTATTATAAAAACTTTTACCTTATTTTAAATTTCAAACTTTGCTTTTGTTTAATAAAACTTAGCAAAGTTGCTGTGTATGCAAGTAAGAAAAGAAAATAAGGATTGACTCAGTTCAAAGACAGTGGCTATAGTTACACTAAATTGACATAACTTTACGTCTTTTATCCCCCGAAGAGGTAGGCAGAGGTGCACATTACGGCACTTAGTACTACTGTATAATGTAACATTTTTTACTTTTTATGTTATGAGTCCCATGTAATAGCGGGTGAGCCTATTGCCATATACCGGGAACAATTCTAGACTCTGTTACTAATGCCATTTTTTTTAAAAACTCACTATTACTTCGCCCGATTTGGAGATCAATACCGAGATCCCGTGCCCGGTAGTCGCACTTGCGACCACTCGGCCAACGAGGCAGTCTATATCAATACTATACCAATTAAATTGGATGCTCTCATATACATACTTTCTAATTTTCACTCAACTTAGTAGCCAATCAGTGATTACTGTCTTTGTCCTGAATAAATCACTTACCTACCCAATAATTAGGCGGACCAATATTTATATGCATTTAGAACATCATCTACTAACTATGTCTGAGTTAAAGCATTAGAGCAAAATGTTCACTTACTTGAGAGAACAGCTGTCCTTCAGGTCTGCGTGTGAGTGGCGCCATCTGACTGCGGACCACCAAGTGACAATCGTCCATAACGGTGTTGAAGAATCTCCGCGTCGGCAACAGAGCCTCTAAGTCAATCATCAGTTCCAAGAATCGTTCACAGTATCTATAAATACAAAAAATACAAATATAGTTCACAGAACATTAAATCAAACGAATTGAAACGTTTGTCTCCATTTAAAGTCTGCATTAACGATTGCGATAATTTTCCATTAAAATGAATATTAATATTATCCAATTTAGTGGAGTAAAAAATATTGGCAACAGCGAATAAAAATTATTTTTTATTCTTTTTTTCAAATCCTTACCTCACAGCATGAGCATCAATGTCTCCAACTTCAGGAATACCCTCAAGTATCCGCATGAACTTAATCATCAGCCTCTGCAGGTACAGTCGCTCCCAATTCAGTTTCTCCAACAGTTCTGGCTTATCTTTCTTTTGAATAGCGCGCCAATATTTCCGCCATTTTGGCACCATTTTGAATTCTTGGTTTCTGCGACCTAAAAATAAAAGTTTGTATTGCTTTATATAATTTCTTAAAACGACGATTATAGGATGCAATTTATTTAGATAATAATTGTTTTATTCATTTTAACATGCAATAATATTCATTCTTTATTTGTTTAGTTCAAAAATTATGGCGCCAAAATTACGTGAAAAGAGATTACAAGGTGTTCTCTATTTAAATTTCAATAAAAAGCATACTATCCAATACAGTGCTTAATTATGTGGCCAGACAGTAAGTTTGCAATATTATGTTAAGGTTTAATGTAAAAAGTTTCTCTACATTTTATTAAATTATTCATGTTATAAATAACTGCATGTAAAATAGAGTGGAACCATTTTGCGTTACCGAAAGAGATATAAAAGGACATGCAATAAGTGTTCGTAAGTTTGAAAAATCCTAGTTTTAGTTTTTCTTAATGTATTTGCATATCACAATATTTACAAAATATAAATTAAAACCTATTAAAAGACAAACACCCTTGAAACATTACAATTACATAAGTCTTATTAGATATAAACATACCTTCTTGCAAACTGATCCACATACTAAGCGAGACGAGCCTCTTCACCTGGTCTCGACAGAGTTGCACCTCCATACTACCGAAGCAGTGGTTCAGGAATAGCAACAGCGCTGTCTGTTCCCGCATATTACTAGTGGTCTGATCATCTTCCACACTGGCGCGCAGCACTTGCTCGAAGAAAGCTGGGAAATGCTCCGGCTTCTTTAAAAAAGCCTGTAAAAACAAAATTAGTGTGTGTTAGTTTCCAAAAATGTACATTTCTGAGCAATCCTCAAAAGACAAAACCTACACTCTTGAAATGAAAAGCTCTTACAGCTTATTAAATTGGATTGACGACAGTCTAACGTTGTAATAACAAGCTTCAAGGTTACATGCCAAAATACTCATGCTGTGGTTCGATTCACATCTGACGGACGATGTGTACCATAGGTCGCGTAGCGCCAGAACAGACGAACGTATGGTAAAACATTCTACCCACCTTCACACCTTAATACGCGACGCATCATTCGTCAGATATGAATCAACCTTTTTACAAGTTTTGCACGCGGATGGTCCGCGCTGATGGGTCAATATATTTGTATGTAGGTACAGGTCGGCGGTATTTACGAACCGGAAGGAATACGAGCGTATTCCTTTTTAAAAGGCCGACAACGCACCTGTGACTTCTCTGGTGATGCGGGTGTCTATGGGCGGCGCTGATCGCTTACCATCAGGTGATCCGTCTGCTCGTTTGCCTCCTATTCCATAAAAAAAATATTTTGTGATACCTACATACTTTGTGAAACCTAAGTTAAGGAGGAACAACTGACCTGCCAAGCGGGCACACGTTCGCGGAACTTCTCGTTGATCATGACGATGATAGACATCATGTGCGCCGGCGACGCCTCTCCCGCCTTGTAGTGTGGCCACAGGTAGTTCTCCAGGTACTGGGAGAACTCCAGCATCATGATACGACGTACTGAGAAACTGGAATAACGAGAAATTGTAATGTACAATTTAGTATCATAATCACTGTCGTCGTCATTGCAGCCTAGGTTGACCCACTCACTGGGCCACTAGTGAGTATATATATATGCTCCACTTTCTGACACATTTTCTCATTTTGTGTACGAATATCTCTTATCCGTTCCCGAGATTTTGGACCTGAACGTCCCGATTTTTTACCTTTTTCACTTTAGTGCAAGTCATGAAATTAAACTGGTCTAACAATGTCATAATGCAGTACTTTCATTGTATGTACTCATCCTATGAACACTATCAAATATTAACGAACGATCAATTAAACCGCAATTAAATCATATAAGCCATAGTAGTTAATTTTAAAAGTAGACTCAGTTTAGAGCATTATAATAATAATACATTTTATTTCAGACTTAGTCCATATTTGTTAGTAACAATGTTCTTAGCCTAGTGTTAGTAAAATTATACAAAGAAAATAATCAAGAAGATTTTTTAATATGAAAAGGTACTTAGTTAATTATTTTTAGTAAACTCTCTCCATAAAGTTAATTCCAAGAAAAGTACTTACACTAAACATTCCGTTTTAAAAACAGTAGATACAAAACTTTTTGAAAAATAATTCAACTTTATTGATAAACAAAAATTAATTTTGATTTATTTAAAATACACAAATAATTTCGAAATAACCGCATTTTTTTAAACTGATTCAACATAAAATATGTAATATGGAAACACTGCAGCAAACTACAAAAATAACTGGTGTTTTTGCAAAAAAATAAATAGGTCATTGCACTCTATTAGGCTGTTGACCCCTAAAGTTGCTCATTTGTTTAAATCACTTGGGCTAAGAAGGGAGAGTGGTTGTATAACTTGAAGAAATTCTTTAATAAAATTAATATTATAATTACTTACTGGGATCCAAGTATTTCTGCTTGGTAGATTGATTCCACAATAGAAGCATCATAAGGTAGGTGGCTCTCCTTAGTTTGTGGCGACCAGTACTGATTAGCAAGCTGTGAACAATGCAACCATGTTGATTTGTAAAACAATTCCATGAGGATAGTTATATAGATTTGTATCTTGCCCTTCTACATAATGTAATACCAGTAGGCTCATTGTAAATTAAAATTATCAAATTATGTATAAACATGACTGCCTAGATGTTTCATGGAAGTCATACATTATTTGATTTGCACCCAGACTTGTTTAGTTGTATTTTAGAACTGGTATTGAATGTATGTATGTATATAAAATGAATGCATAAATGATCCTCATGAAATCATACATTGAGGTTGATTTGACCAACTCAGAATAGTTAATTGAAAATATCCATTTATATGTGTAAGTAACACTTACACTATAATTTACATTTTAGTACTAATTGATTTACATCTAGCCAATGCTACTATGTACTGTACAATTTACTAAAGTACTACTACAGCACAGTTGTACCTGGTGCCCAATTCCTACTGGATGTCTTGTGATGTTTCATGGCTTCCATTTTTAGTCAAGCAATTGCAACTTTACATAAGACTTCTTTCATTTTTAAAACATTACTTTTATTGGGTTAGAGCTACTAGCTAGATCCATGTCTCCCCATATTATACCTACCAGATTTGTAAGGGTGTTTACCTT